TTTTTCACTAGGTTTTAACTTACTTTTTTCCTTCCCCTCCCTCAGGTGTAGACCCCATAGAATTTCCTCTCCCAACTATCCTCCCTTCTTTCTGCAGACCCTCCTCCCTCCCCTGCAGGATGTGTCTGGTTTATAATTGTATTTGTTTTGTATTATTATTACCCCCCCCATGTCTTATTTGATTCCCCTATATTTCTCCTATAAATGAAACCATCCAATATTTTTCTTTTTCTTTCACTGAGCATCACCCCTTCTAGCTCCATCCATCATGCTGTGAACGGTACAAGTTTATCTTTTTGATTGCTGAGTAGTATTCCATTGTGTATATATACCACATCGTCCTGATTCAATTGTCTATTTGGGGGCATTTGGATTGTTTCCAGGTTTTACCTATTGTAAACAGTGCTGCCATACACATAGGGGTGCAGGTATCCTTTTGAATTAATATTCTTGTGTCCTTTGGGTAGAGGCCTAGTAGTGGACCATTGTAAATTTCTCCCCTTCTTGGAGAAGGCCATAGGCTGCAGCCACAGCTCAGATAGACTGTGGCTTCCTTAGCTATTCTGGATTTCTAGGTAAATCACCTGTTGTTTTCCAATTCGGGCTTTTTGCTTTGATACTTTATAACAGCAGTGGGCCAGATCATTTAGGAAAAGTACTATATTGGCCTGGTGTGATTCCCAGGACGGACTGGCAACGAGTAGGTCATTTACGGAGTGCAACAGGAAACAACACTTTTGAAATCATTGAGCTAACATTCACTAAAAGTTGTGGGGAATTCTTTTGAATCCCCGCTGGCCAACAATACTGGGAGATTATTGGAGTTTCAGGATCTTGCCACTGGAAGACAAGCATTCACTGAGACTCTTTGCACAGGAATCCAGAAGAAGGCGTCTCTCAGGGCTAGGAAGGCCATTCTTAGTTGTTAGGGAGTGAGTGCTGTTAGTGCAGTACTGGGCTTGGGTGCAGTGGGGTGAACGTCTTGGACCCCTTCATTTACTGCTTTCAGATCTTGAACACACCGATACTCCTCAGAGTGAGGCTTCTTGGGGTGTTGTGTGGTGACCTGCAAGGGCATATAAACACATGATCCAGGAATCTGCTCAGTATTGGCTGAATTCCTTGTAATGCTTCCTTTCAGGGGGTTGGGGGTTTATTGTTTAATAATGAAGATAAGATAGGCTTTTTCTTTCAGCCTTTTTTTTTTTAAAGATTTATGTATTCATGCATATCAGAGCTGGGGTGTAGGCCAGAGAGTGGGTGTGAGAAGGATGAGAGGACTCATCAGAGACAGAGTAGGGAGCAGAACCAGTGGACACTGCTGAGGGGAGCAGTGGGCAGGAGAGGAGAGGTCCGCCGTGCCATGTGGGTCACTCCCTGGCCGGGACTGAACTCAGGCTGCCATTGTGGGCTATGGGGGTGGTAGTGCTGAGACTCACCCCTAGGCCACCACGGAGGCCCTATCGCTGTGGTTCTTTAACTTTGAAATATTTAAAACTTTTTGTCTTAAAAGGCTACTTTTGACATTATTATAAACATTATCTTTGTTACACTTGATGTCTTTGTCCCTCTCTTCTCCTATATTTTTGTGTTTTAGATGTGTCTCTTGCAAACCATATATAACTGCTTCTTTTCTTCATTCACCCTAGGTTTGTGTCTTAATCAGAGCATTTAATTGGTTTAAGTAATTATAAACATAGCAGCTTACCGAGTGCATTCTATTCTGCCTGATCTGTATTTTTGCTATTGATTTTTAAAAAAATGAAGTAATGTAGCATTTTAACATTATATAAATTGTAGGTGTGCATCCTTATTTTTTCATTTGTCCTACTCATTAGTTACTTTGTATTATCTGTGTCATAATTGCACTGTCGATTATGATATACCTTTGACTTAGCAAAGTCTAAAGTGACTTGGAGTGCTTTTTTTCTTGAATATTTGCATTTTTTTTTAAATTGAGGTACAGTTGACACACAAGATTTTATTTGGTCCAGATGTACAAGATGAGTCAATATTTGTATACCTTGTAAAGTGGTCGCCATCCTTCACACCTGGTGCCTTACATAGTCTTGACTTTTTCTTGACATGAATAACCACTTCTCCGCCTACACCCCCTGCCTTGGGATTTCTGCTTCC